GACAAGAACAAGCCCGGCTCCGCTAACCTGAACATTAGATGACCCATCCACGAACAAGTCCCAGACTACTTCTGGGCCCATCTGCTCACTTAAACCTGGTTCTGTCGAAAATTGGGGTTGTTTCTCCTCTTCTGGAGGGGTAAACTCAGCTAAGAAATCAGCCAACACCTGAGCCTTTACTGCTGTTCTTGGCTTATACTGAATGTCGAACTCTTCTAACTCTACTGACCACTTCATCAGTCGACCAGAGCTTTCTGGCTTGTGTAGGACCTGTCGAAAGGGGTTGATCTGTTAGGACCACTATCGTATGCGCTTGAAAGTATGGTCTCAGTTTCCTGGCGGACACAATTAAAGCAAAGGCCAACTGTTCCATCCTTGGATATCTTTCCTCCGCACCCCTAAGTGCTCTGCTCACGAAGTATACTGGCCTTTGGACCCCTTCTTCTTCTCGTATCAGAGCTGAACTGACAGCTGTCGTGGAGACTGCAAGGTATATGTATAGTTCCTCTCCCGGTATGGTTCGAGACAGTAGTGGGGGAGAACTAAGGTATTGCTTTAGTTCTTTGAACGCCTGCTCACACTCTGGGGTCCATTCAAACGCATTCCTTAGCACACGAAAGAAAGGTAGACACCTGTCAGTTGACTGAGAGATTAGCCTACTCAAGGCAACAACCTTCCCTGTTAGTCATTGTAGATCCTTGGTTGATCTTGTCGATCTCATGTCAATGACTGCTCGGATCTTCTCTGGATTGGCCTCAATTCCTCTTCTGCTTACCATATATCCCAAGAACTTTCCTAAGGAAACCCCAAAGGCACACTTGCTGGGGTTGAGTTTCATCTTATGCCTCCTAAGTACCTCGAAGGTCTCCTGCAGGTCAGTCAAATGGTCTTTAGCTTTTAAGCTTTTTACCAACATGTCATCAACATATACCTCTATGTTTTTACCAATTTGATGCTTAAACATTGCATTCACTAGCCTTTGGTATGTTGCACCAGCGTTCTTGAGCCCAAACGGCATTACTTTGTAACAGTACAAACCTCTATTAGTGATGAAGGCCATTTTTTCTCTATCTGAGGTGTACATAGATATTTGGTTGTATCCAGAATATGCATCCATGAAACTTAATAGTTCGTGTCCAGCCGTTCCCTCAACGAGCATATCGATTCTTGGGAGAGGAAAGCTGTCATTCGGGCAAGCTTTGTTAAGGTCGGTGAAATCCACACATAGCCTCCACTTTCCATTTGCCTTCTTCACTAAGACCACATTTTCCAGCCAGTCGGGGTAGTACACCTCTTGAATATAGTCGACTTTTAAGAGCTTTTCCACCTCTTCTGATATAGCCTGATTCATTTCTGGAACGAAAGTCCTCCACTTTTGTCTGACAGGTTTAAAGTCAGGATTTACATTTAAGCGGTGCTCCATGATAGTGGGGTCTATACCCGGCATGTCTTCATGGACCCATGTAAATACGTCTCGATTCTTCCTGAGGAATTGAGTAAGTTTATCTTTGATACCTGGGGGGAGTAAAGACCCTATACTTACTTTTTTCTCGGGCTCACCGTCACCAAGGATGACCTCTTCTAGCTCCTCTGTAGGTTCCGCTCTATGAAAGTCTGGTCTATCTTTCCCTTCCAGCCCTTCAATCGTAAATGCCTCTTACGATTTTGTTTTTCTAAGAGAGGCGACATAACATTCGCGAGCCATTGTTTGGTCCCCTTTTAGCTCTCCCATACCATATTCAGTTGGGAAGCGCATCAGGAGATGGTAAGTGGACGTGATTGCTTTCATGGCATTCAATGTTGTCCTCCCCAGGATAATATTGTATGATGATGGGCAGTCCACCACTACAAAGTCCACCATTACAGTGACCTGCTTTGGATTGGCTCCTGCAGTAACTGGAAGGGTAACTGCCCCCAGTGGATGTACTTTATCGCCTGAAAATCCCACCAGTGGTGATTTCATGGGTCGGAGCTTCTCTCGGCTAATTTTCAATTTCTCGTATGCCCAGGGGGTCATCATGGGGCTGGTGAATTCCCTTGTCATCTTCTTCAGAAAAGGTTATGACCGGCTCCTCAACTCAAGGTAATTTTGTTGGAGGATTTGTTATTCCAACTTCATTCACCTCTGAAAAACTCCGAATTCTCCTAGCATGAGCCCTCCGAGCCGAACTCGTCCCACCACCACCAGTGAAGCCACTCGATATAACTTTGATCTCACCCATTGGTTGGTGTTGAGGAGGGCGATCATCTCAGCCCTCCCGGGCTGGGTTGGAGGCTCCTTTTCCATTTCCAGTTGTGAATTTGCGTAAATGACCTTTACGAACAAGGTTCTCGATCTGGTTTTTGAGGTCGAAACAATCTTCTGTGTTATGTCCATAGTCCCGGTGAAACCTACAGTATTTACCTAGAGACTTCTTTGTTGGATTAGCTTTTAGCTTTGGCGGCCATTTCAATGATGCGTCATCTTGAATCTGCAGAAAGACTTGATCTACAGATGTATTTAGGGGGTATAGTTATTATACCTGCCTGGGCTCACTGGGCGGCGAGACAATCTGTCAGCCTGGTTGTTTGAGAATTTCTTGTACTTCGATTCCTTTTCCTCCCTAGTGTTAGGTGCTGGCCTCTTCTTCTCTGACCTTTTATCTTCACCATCTTTGTTTTTTCGTGCATTTATAGCATCCTCAGCGTTCATGTGCTTCCATGCTCTAACCATCAACTCTGTCATACTTGTAGGAGCTTCTTTTGATAAGGAAAATAGGAACTTAGAAGTCTGTAGTCCTCCCATAAAAGCTGTGAGGGCAACCTTGTTGTCCACCTCTTCTACCTGCAGCATATCAGCGTTAAAACGACTTATTTAACCACGGAGAGGCTTTCCCTTCTGCTGTTTCACATTCAATAAGTGTGTTGCTGTCTCCTATGCCTCTGCCCAGTGATGAAGTGTCCAATGAATTGTTTGCTCAACTCATTAAAGATTTCAATGGAGCCTGGCTTTAATTTATTGAACCAAGGACGAGCCCAACCCTTTAGTGTGGTAGGGAAAGCCCTGTACATAATCTCATCCGGTACGACTTGCAAATACATAAGAGCTTTGTAGGTCTCCAAATGATCGAGAGGGTCCCGCGTCCCATCGAAGCTCTCAAGAGTTGGCATATTAAATTTGCTAGGTAGAGGACAACTCATAACATAACAGCGAGGCTAAATGCTAGGTTGGTCTTCTGTACCAGATCGTTCACTGTGGCCTGGCCCTTCCCTTTCATTGCTTGCATGACGTCTTTGACCCTAGTTCTCAGATCTTGCATCTACAGATTGAAATAAGTGACGTCTTCAATCTTGTCACTAACACAACCAGAGGTACCTGCACGGAGCCTGGTATTATTCCGTTCAAGAGACCAATGGTGATGGCTTCTCTGTTGACCCCCTATTTGACTAAGCTCAGCGTCGTTGTCAATCCTACGGGAGTCATTCTTGGGTACTTCATTATTCTCCACCTCATTAAGGGCGGCTAAGCGTTGTAGAATCATTGAATTTTTCTGGACTAATTGGTTCATTCCCTTATTTAAGGTTTAAACCTGTTGTTCCAACGCTGTGACGCGTTCTTGATCGTTTGGGACGGCGGGGGGTTGCCTCGTCGAGTCCCCTTGATCAGAAGTTTGCAACGCTTCGTATTCACACTGGCTTGTTCGTCGGAGCCTACTCCACCGGTAACACACCGGTGTTTGTAGGATCACTTTTTCTTCTCTTTATTCAGGAAGTCAGATCAGATCCAGGTTGCGCAGAATCTATCATCAACAAGTCTGAACTTTTATTAAGTAATAAAAATATTCAAAAGAAGTATTCCTCCAAATAATTTCAAATTTGAGAACTGAGAATTCAATGGTTGAAATTATATAATTTTTTAAATTAATTTTGGGTAAGAAGATTGAACCTATACAATTTTTATCTCATCAATTGAAACATTGATTCTTTTACTATATATACAAAAATACATACATATACATATACATATACATATATATATATATATATATAGAGAGAGAGAGAGAGAGAGAGAGAGAGAGAGTCTGAGACATATCAGTGTTAGAAGTCTGATACAATGATACATATCAGTTACTAGTATGGATATACTACCAGCTCTGTAATGACAGAAATCTTACCTTTCATCGTCCTAAACTCATTTAATGCACTGCTACTTGGCTGCAATTTCCCTTTATATCTTTTACTATATATATATATATATATATATATATAGAGAGAGAGAGAGAGAGAGAGAGAGAGTCTGAGACATATCAGTGTTAGAAGTCTGATACAATGATACATATCAGTTACTAGTATGGATATACTACCAGCTCTGTAATGACAGAAATCTTACCTTTCATCGTCCTAAACTCATTTAATGCACTGCTACTTGGCTGCAATTTCCCTTTATATCACTACACCTTTTGACCATCCTTTTTTTTCCCCCTCCTACTTCAATTTTGCTTCTTATATATATATATATATAATATTTCTTAAATAACATACCTACCCATTTTTGTTTCCACAAGGTCCTTACAACTTTTTAGTAAATTTTTCATATATTTTAACACACTTGCACTTCATTTTTTTCTGATACTAATAATGTTTACCATACTTTTTTAACCTTTCCATGACCTAAATACCCTTGAATTGAATTTTACATTTCTCAAACATACCAATTAAGTATATCTAATCCATATAATGGTCAGGCTTCCAATATATCACAAGTCCTCCAACAGCCATATTATGTGTATGATGTGTAGTTTATCCCTGAACATATATTGCGTTTGTATTTGTCAAAAAAAAAAAAAAAAAAACACACACACATAAATAGAGGGGTCTTTTAGTCTTTTCAGGGTGATTTTGAAGGATAAATCACACATTTATTTATTTTGTTGTTTTTGACTTGGCTAGTAGTGATGACAATGACAAGGTATTGGCCACATTGAAACATGGCAACAACACGGTACAGTCGATTCTGCCACTGCCAGCCAACCCATGTTAGCTAAGCCTCCCTTTAAGATCCCATTGCTACCCCCCATATTACTCGCTCACTCTTCCCCTTCACTTTGCTTACTACCACCCGGCCCTCTCTCTCTCTCTACACCACTCTCTCTCTCTCTCTCTCTATATATATATATATATATCTACCTATTTCATATGGCTATGAACACGAAGAAACCTATGAAGATGAGGGGTTTCATGTGCCAGTCCTCAGCAGTAAATGCAGCGTGTGTGGCCGATCCTCGGTCAGTGATAGTGCCGCGAAGGCCGGACCGGACATTGGTGGATCATGCAAGGCTGATCAACAATCCAAAGTACACTAGACTCATCAACAGTACTCGTGATCATCGTCAAACTGATCATACATTTTCTTTGGCTACTAAGAGATCATCATCAACTGGGACCATCGCTCGCATCAAAAGTGATCAACACATGTTTCAACGCCAAAACCCTAAGCTGCAAATGCCCTCTTCCGTATCTTCATCCCACCAAGTCTTCCAGGTTATGTTTCAAATCATACTTACACACATATATATAGCTGGTATATTAATAATAATTGTATCACAATTTTCCCCCATCATTTGAGAACAATGATAGGTTATCCAGAACCATAGGACCAAATGCATATTGTTTTATGCATTATAGTAGGACCCACATACTATACTAATTGGAAATAATTTGTTTTCCTGTTTTCGAAAGACAAATTATTTTTTGGGAAAATTACATATAAATGGAGTCAAGGTTCCATATTTACTTAGAGGCGGAGTCAAAGTTCCATATTTCTCTAAAATGGATTGCTGAGGTGGCACATGGTTTTTTACTGTTTAGAAATTGTGGTGCCTAAAATACCCTTCCACGAAGGTACTACTTTTTCTTCGAAGGTACTACTTTTTTGAACTGAAGGTACTACTTTTTGGCGTCCAGGTACCATGTTTTTTAAACACCCGCGAAGGTACTACTTTTTCTCCGAAGGTACTACTTTTTTGAATTGAAGGTACTACTTTTTTACACTGAAGGTACTACTTTTTTGTTAAGAAAGGGCATTTTAGGCACCACAATTTTCTAAACAGTAAAAAACCATGTGCCACCTCAGCAATCCATTTTAGAGAAATATGGAACTTTGACTCAGTCTCTAAGTAAATATGGAACTTTGACTCCATGTATATGTAATTTTCCCTTATTTTTTCGTAGTGTGACCCACGTACTAGACCGATTAGAAATGATTTGTCTCCCTGTTTTCGAAGGACAAATTATTTTTCTTTAAATAATGTGTACACTTTGTTTGGTAAGTCACTTTTATGGAATGAGGTGTGTGTGTATATATATATATATATATAATGAAAAGAATATTAGAGGTTAGTGGTTAATGAAGGAAGGGGATGTGAAAGCTCGGTCCCAAAGACAATTAATGGAGAGCAACCCTTTGGACTAGGAAGGCATACGCTTTCAGTTATGCCGTATGACATGATCCAAACACTGAAATGCTAGGTTGAGTTTGTGGCTACTGTTTGATACAACAAAGTGCAACCAAACCAGCAGCCAAAGGGTTGGGTCCAGCAGTTTCGCTGCTTGGAGCGCACTATAAAATATATATATATATTACTCTATATACACTATAGTTTATTATTTTTTCCTTGTCATTGGTTATGCATGATAAGAAAGAATTTACATGTATGTACTATGTACCCACATGTATATATGTTGTACATATATAGAGAAAGAGAGAGAGAGAGAGTGAGTAAGGTGAGTGAGCGTTAATGATAAACGTCCTCTGTGATACAACATGATTTAATGGTAACCAAAGTATGGTATATGTCATTTTCTCAAAAGTCAGATTTTAGTTTCTCTTAGGGCATTTTCTACTAGTAATGGTACTTGGCCCTCGGTTACCCTGTACCACAATTTCAGTCCCGGCCAAGAGTTCGGACACTCGCACATGTATACGAGGCTTCTAGACTCTAAAGCTGTACGGCACGCATGGTTTGCCAACATATCAGTCGGAATGTATGTAACTCTTTTTTAAATTCGATATTATCATATCTATGTAATTCGGTCGATATACACTGATATTTATTTGAATTTATTACACCGCGACCGACAATGATACTGCGAATGTGATCATGACTGCACGTGATCCACCCAGTTCGGCCATGTTGTATTGTGGAAAGTGAAAACTCAAAAAAAATGTTTAAGTTTGTTTCAAAATTAGATTATGGTACAAAATTTTACTTGGTTAACAATTTTTTAATTAAAAAAAGTAAGTTCAAAATTAAATATCTTCAATAATTTTTTATTTTTAAATCTTTTAAAAAATATTTTTCAAAAAATTAAAACAGATCAACCCAAGTTAATTCAATTGTATGTATCAATGATATGTGATAGCTAAAAACTATTTTTTATTTTCAAGTAAATTGAACTTTTAACCTCCCTAATTTACTTCATTAAATCTCATTGCAACATTTATTAATTATTTCATTTATCAGGAGTTCAGGAAAAATTGATTGTTGAGGCACTTGTACAATTTTTTAACTTTCATATATATGTAGAAAGTATATCTATTTACTACTACCCAAAAAACAAACACAAGTATACTTAGTACTTCCTGCTCAACAACCAGATCAGTTCCTGCAACCAAACATACCAATCAAAAAGGTAACACATCATTGTACACTAGTCATTTTGCCAAATATATATACATATATATTGTATCTTATATATATGTTTAATTATATTTTTCATTTTTAGAATAAGGTTATATGCACTGGATTTTCATATTTGTATCACACACACACACACACACACACACACACACACATATATATATGTACAGACATGAACTTGAGAAGTTTCTTGATCTTGAATTTTTGTGATTAATTTGCAGGTGGTTGTTATGAGAGTCTCTCTTCATTGTCAAGGTTGTGCTGGTAAAGTCAAGAAACATTTATCCAAAATGGAAGGTACAAACTTAGACCACATTATTGTTAAAATAAATAATAATAAATAATAAAAACTTAGACCACATTACAATTAATTTTAATACTTAGATGTTTTGGTATGTATCTATCACACAATAGGTCTACCTACATGCGATGGGATATTGAAAGGGACACAAACTTGTGTTCTCATAGATCAAATTCTTTGTCCAATTTAATTAAATATCTTTTTATTAAAAATAAAATTGTGAAAGAATAAATAGAAAAAGATGAATATATATATCTTTCATTTCATTTTCATATTTGATCCGTAGCTCTCAGGCCACTTAGTGCATGAATTGAAATTGAGAACGACCATACTTCAATTAACTTACAAATATTCGACAAATAAATTAAAAAGAAGAGTGTTACGTTGCTAGTGAGTGAGACTTTTTTGGATAGTGTTATAAGTGTCCGTTCTAAACCTATTTATGGTAGGGGTGAAATTTCAACTTATGAATCCCGATTAATTGAATTCTTGTTTCCGTATATGAGCCTCTCTTCAAACGCATTGAAAATCCTTACACATTCATGGTTAGCATGCCCAAATGGTTAGCATGCATTTGGGTCATCATTTCGATTGAAATGGAAGGAATTTTTAAATGGTCCCGATTATTGGTCCTCATCAGTTACTATTAGACACAATTATTAATTTGTCTTATAATAAATGATCTGAAATCAATGATGCTGGAATCATGTAATGATACCTTGATCTAGACCTAACAAGCATCTTCGAATATTAAAAAAATGGTCACACACACACATATATATATATATATATGTGCTTCTTCAATTTGGGGGCATCAATCTTAGAAAACTTTTCATCACTTCTTCAATTTGAACTGATCAAATTGCTTTTTTTGATCTTCTTATTTTTATGTGATACAAGGGGTGACGTCATTCAGTATAGATCTGGAGGCTAAAAGGGTAACTGTGATGGGACACGTGTCACCAGTGGTGGTCCTGGAGAGCATTTCAAAGGTGAAGAGGGCAGAGCTGTGGAATAGTGAAGTGGATGGAGTAACTTTAATACGGTAGGAGATGTCACATTGTAACAAAGAGGATCCTATTAAGTTGTTCTGTATTTTGCCTTTTGTTTTAGGTAACTCTGCTCAATTTGGTGGTCCCATCATAATTAGGAGGATAAGAGGGTAAATTTGTGATCATGTGGGTGGGAGCAGTACTGACAGTGATGGGTAGCTGTTATTCATCAAAACTTGGGAAAGCTTTATTTTATAATTTATTTTATCTTTCCTTACTCATCTCATATATCTTCACTTTTTAATTTTACGTGTCGCAACTACAATTATTTTGTGTTTTTATTTTTATTTAAAGTATAAATAATATTTCTATTTTTAGAGCGTGTTCAACGTTATTTAGAAACTTATTTGGTAACATAAATTTGTTATAAATTTTTTAGAAATAAAAACATGAAAGCATGTTTGGTAAAAAATGTTATTAGTTTGAAAATTTAAATGGTTGGTTAAAAATGTTATTTTAGAAAATTTCTCTAACTACTTCTCACGTTAGTCACAATTAAATATGTCAATGTAATATTTTATAAATGCTCAAACTATTACGAAGTGAGAGAAAATGACTCTAGTATATCAAATAACCATTTCAACATATAATTTAACATATTTGATGTCAAACAAAATATTAAACAAATAATTCATATAATTCAACAAAATAGGCATTGGCCAGTAATTATTCGTCATTTGATTTATCAACAAATCACTTGTTAAAAAAAAAGTCTTCAACTGCTCATAGAAAAATTATTTTCAACTCTGCAAAAACAATACAAAAGGATATATATAAGAAATTGTAGTTTTATCTGATTAAATTTGATTGAAATTACCATTTGGTATTCTAACAAGATCATTTGAGTAAGTTTCTTTCACTTAAGGGTAGTTAGGGCATTTAAAAAATATTCTATTGATTAACGTTGAGAGGTCAGAGAAATACGAACAGACTTCAAGAGGTGTTAGGGGTTATTTTTAAAAATCTCAAGACTATTTTGATAATAATTTTAGCCGAAAGATAATTGAACAAATTTCAAACTTTTTTTTTTTTTTTTGGTGAAAAAAAAATTAATCCGTTGTGTGTGTGACGAACTTAATTTTAATATTTAAAAGATTAATCTAATCAATTTTATTAAGATGTATGGGTAAAATATAATTGTAAGTTGAGACTTGAGAGTTAATTAATATATTTACATCTCTAGATTTAAAAGAATATTGATTTGTTATAGGGGTAGAGCCAGGATTTGAAAGTAGGGGGGCTAAAGATAAATTTCAAGCAGAGAATTTACTAGGAAAAAAAAAAAAAAAAATTTCAAACAAAAAACGGTCTGGATAAAAAACATACAAAACTACTTTTTTCACTTAAAATTTGTGTTCAAAAGAGTAAAATTTAAGTGTCTATGTTACTTTATACCAAATTGAGCTTTGTGGTACAATTTGAGGAAGCTTTAATTGTTTATAAGTTTGAACATTCAAATTGTTCACACGGTTTTGCAAATTGAGAAAAAGAGAGTTCAAGGTAACAATGTGTTTGAGTTTGCAACAATGTGTTCGAATTGGGCTAGGCTGAATGTTTTATTATGAATTGGGCTAGGCTGAATGACTGATAGAAAAATGAAGAATAGTACATTAGCTTAGTACTTTAGTAGTACTAAATATATTTTTTTAATTGGACCTATGCTATAACCCAGGTTAGCCCATTCATGATTCCGCTCCTATACGTATGCGTTTAATTCGCATATCATACGCAAATTTACTAACTAGGATAACCACTAAATCCAATCATTTATTATTATTATTATTATTATTATTATTATTTCTCCATTTTTTTAAAAAAAAGAAAAAACAAAATTTGTTTAGTGTTCTGTAGGAAGTATACTTGTATAATAAGCATTTACTAATAGGTGTTAAAATTATTTGCAGTCGGCAAAACAATTGGTTGTATTTGCACAAAATAACCTATAATGGGGGTTTCAAATACACAACAAACAACTTCGTAACCCAATTGCTAGGATTTTTTTCGTTTTCCTTGGAAGCCCGACTTCAAGTTTTCGCACCCTCTTCCAACTAATCATTAACACCTAACATTCTTGTCATGAAAAAAAAAAAAAATAGTACACACATAAATTTTATTTGTTTTTAATTTTTGAGAAGCAAGTAGAAAGTTTATAAATAACAAGGCCTAAGCCAAACACACACACGCACACATTATCCAATCATGATATTTAAAAAAGGATCAACTAGGACCCTACTTTATTTTATGACACAAAAATAACAAAATACAATCTAATACTATATGGAATTGTGTGTGGAAAAAACTCTAATACATGGAAGAATGAACTATACGGGGATGGGCTGATTTGGGCCTCAGTTAGTTTCGGCCCATAATTTTTAATGGGGGCTTAGTGCCTTAGCCCTTAGGCTAACTTTGATTGTTTTTATGTTTCAAGCCCAATTTTTTTTTTTTATTTTAAAAATTCCTAAACTATAGGTTCCCATAAATAGTTAATTTTAAGTTACTAACCGGATTTAAACACGTGGCCCCTCCAAAATTTATAAAATGTCAATTCGAATATTTCAAACTTTCAAGTCTTATTTTTAGGGTTAGTTGTGTTTCCATCTCTTAATCTAGGGTTAGTTGCATGTGTTTCTATATCTTAATTTAGGGTTAGTGTTGTTTTTTTTTTTTTTTTTTAAATCTTTGCATTGATGAATTGTGGTGATATATATATATATGTATAAGATGAATGGTTACGTTGCAATTTGAATGTAATCTAATTGGAAGGTTAGATGGATTATAAATCAAAACAAATACATAACAAATTAACTCCAAACTAGTTTTGATGTTAATGTTTTACAGAGTCAATTAGGTCTCTTCTTACGTAATTTCTTATGTGTTTACAGGACAAGTGTTGATATAGAAGTAGCGTTTTTCACCCACTTACTTTGTTATTCAAACTAAAATGGAGTTGGAAATAAGTAGATAAAAAGAAATTAAGGGACTATGAGAAAAACAATATAATAAAATGACTCAAATAAACATTTGCCATAATGCCTTCTTGGTGCCACAACAGGGCAAGAATGCTGGGTTAGCGGCACTCCCAAATACGGAAAGTAACTCAACCACTCGAATAATATGACACTTGCGTAAGAGGTGAACATTACATGGCATAAATTTGGATACAATTATATACCTCACCTCAAGGATATTTCAACTTAATATTTAGATTACCGATGTACAAAAGAAAGTGATTAATTATTACAACAAATCAATAGTTCAGCGGACAGCTCGTAATTCAGGGAATTATTTGCAAAAAAATAATAGGTCAAGGATTTTTTTTTTTTTTTTTTACACTTTATACCTTAATTTTTCCTTTCTCAATATAAAATGCAATATAATAAAGGGGTATTACTAACTTTTCACAATCAAACGTCACTTTCGGTAGCTAGCAAACAGAGGCCAAAATAATAAAAATTGAAGAGTCTACCCGCATGTAATTTATTCAGACTTCAAAGGAGGTTATTGTAATTTATCCTAAGTCTATTTGATTAAATTATTAAGTCTAAGAATTATTATAAATGCAAATAAAAAAAAAGAGTCTAGTTTAGTTTAAAGTTTAAACATGCTACATAGATTTCTATCTTGTCATGACTATTAAACTATAAAACAAATGACATCAATCAGAATCTAATTGTTTGTCAAAAATTATATATAGGGTGAGGGTCCTAATTTAATTATCAAATTCTTATCAGTTATTAATTCACACACGCATGATGAGTTCAAGATTATAAATTATATTAGAATCTCATTGATCTATTTTTCATTGGTGAAAAAGGGTATCTTTATACGTGTGATGAACTTCAATCTTAACATTTAAATGATGAATCTATTTAATGAAGACGTATGCTTAAAGAAAATTGTAAGTTGAGAATTGATTAATATTTACATCTCTAATTTTAAAAGCATATTGATTTGTTAACCTTATCTTGGAATCTTTCTTTTTTATATTTACATGGGTGAAGTACAAAAAATATCCTTATATAATATACTTTATATAATATATTTACGGTGCATATCACACAAAATATTATTTTGTGAAACGACTAAAAATGATACATTTCTTGAGACGTCGTTTTTTTGCCCATCTCACCTAAAACTTTGTCTTCAGTCGGGCAACTATGATCGCCAACAAGAAGCATTGAGCAACAGTGATGACATTGACAAATAAGCTGCACAGTTCAACTGTTCCAGCGATGGTTCTATGCAGCGACCCAAAACAGAGAAGAGCTTGAGAGAAGACAACGGCGAGGAAGCAAGAAATACCCACCCAGAGAAAATTGTTTAGACGTCCATGAAATCCGGCGAAAGCTCCGGTGAGACCCATCTCTTTGGCTATACAACCACGAGTTCCAAGGCTTGCATTGTTCTTCGTTGACCATCTAGCTAGCTGACAAAGCTAAATTCTCTTACTTTGCTCTCTTAATTGTGCAAGTGTTGGATTTATATATGGGGAGCAATCTTTTGACAAGAGGCCAATCTCAGTGGTAGTTTAAGTTCTTATTGATCCCTATTCATTAAGATCCTAATATTGATTATTGAACTCCATTAGACTGTTCATACAAATTCATAAAATTTATATATAAGGTACATAATACTCTTATATTATAAAATTTGTAACATATATATACCTTGGACATTTTCGGAAGTGTAAAAGGACAAAATGGGTATTAAAATATTAATTTATGTTAAATTTTTGATTGAATGGTATTTTTGCACAATGTGAAAAGAATATGAGTATTTTTTGAACACTTGTATATTTTAGAAGTATTTTTTCACACTTCAACCTATTTATATTTTAACACATATAATTTGTATTGTGTTGTGTTGTGCATGAAGTTATTCTCTACATGGAGGGTTAATTCGAGTCGTAAGCCACATTGGTGTGGTAAGGTTTCACCCCTTTAAGTACAAATAATTTTTTGGAGTCGTTCCTACAAGTGTAAATTTGAACTTTAGTTGATCACTATGAAAGAAGCACTTTACATATATAATATTCTAAAAATTTAATCAGGACAAAATCCTAGCTAGCCGAGTTACCTTAATAATAATAATAATAATAAAGTTATTCCATAATAAATTAAGAACAACTAGCTACTATATTAGCCAATTGATAACAAAATATGTTAAAGAGATTGGTTATATATGATTCCATTTTAATTCTCCTAAGAAAGTCAAATCG